CAGTGGATAAAACTCAACACCTTGGTTTTGACATTGGACGACAGACGTAACATTTTAAAAGAAGATTGGGAGTTAAATGATGTAATAATGACTTGTGCTCAGCGTATACTGCAAAAGCAGTTTCCTTTATTTAATGGATTCTACTTAACACTCAAGCTATCCAGTATGAAACCTGTCACTGATGGATGGATTGGAAACTTTCTTCAAATATGTCATTGCCGCTCAAATCACTGGATAACTCTTTCAACAATAGGATGTCAGCATGGCGAGATAAGAGTGTATGATTCACTATATGACGAGGTAGATGAAGATACTATCTTCCTGATAAAAAGATTATTTAATCAAGACGGATTAAGTATCATATTACCTTCTGTTCAAAAACAGAATGGTGTCAAAGACTGTGGGTTGTTTGCAATTGCAAATGCTACCGCACTGTTACTTACATCAGATCCATCCACTACCCATTTATTTAATCAGGCAAAGTTACGCGATCATTTGGTGCATTGCTTAGAGGCTAATATGTTCACTCATTTCCCAGTAGTGTAACCACTGATGTTTTACAGGGACAGTGTTTTTGTTTTGTTTACTTTTGTTTAGTATTATTGTTACATGTATATGTACTATTACATGTAAAATGTATCCATTATCTGTTATCATTTACCATTTTAATGTTATGATTGATTTTATTTATTTGCTAGGATTAATTATTGTGTTAATTTTTAATGGTAACGCAAATAACACAAAAAATAATAGATACACGTAAAGATAAAGATAGACAAGAATAGCAAAAGTAAATATTATCAAGTCATTAGTATTGTTGTTGGCAATTGGTTGCACAAGTATTACACCTCACTAAGACTGCTTGTTATTCCAGCTGCTTGAAATCCATTGACAATTAGCTGAGGTTGTGTAGTGAAGTATTGATATAGGTCAATCATCCAGTTGGCCATCAATGGTTTCATTATTGTTAGCCGAAGATCTACTGACTCTTCCACACCATCTTCTAACTGCTTCAAAATAATGGAGGCATACCAATTTTGAAACTGCCGTTTCATGAAATCCTTAGCTGGCTTATTGATGCTAAGATCAAGGGGCTGAAGTCTATCAGTACAGTTTGGTGGTATTAATACATAAAAAATATTGTTTTCTTCGAGAATCTTGAATACTTGGTCAGTACATTGCCCCCTAAATACATCGAATAAGACGAGAGCTGGATGAGTAGCATCAAGACTGAACTGACTTCTTGTATTACGTACATATGGTAGTATAATTGAGTTCAAATACTCAACTGTAGTTTTCTCATTGCTCCAGTGGTTGCTAGTATACGTCAGGTGCCAATTATTAGGAAAAGATACACCTTTTGGAAGGCACTTCTGTGTAGTGCCTTGGTATATTAGCTGAATTGGGAGGAATTTCCCAGAGAGAGTGCATGCGAACACGGCAGTAATCTGCCTCTTGTCATCAATACCTTCAATTTCAACTCTTTTTGTTCCTCGTTTTTCCATCGTCCATTAGGAGGATGGAACAATCTTCATGGCTGTGTGGTCCCAGTTCACAATCAACTGCTCTGGGATTTCTTCAATAAAGACAATGGAACGTATATCAGCCAAGAAGATTTCCTTTACACTGTC